ACTTCACTATATATGTGTGTGCCAAGATAGATAATGTTTACAGTGTGCAATTAAAGAAAAATCAGCTAGGACAACTGCACTTGAGAATTTCTGTCCCAAAGGAGTTAAATGACATGACATGCACATTCTTCATTGCGCTGACACATTACATTTTACAGCACTAGTTAGACTTGTCTGGCAAACAGTTGGAAGTTATAAGAACATCAAAAGTTTTGTTTGAAAGCTTGTCTATATTCTTCAGGCACCTCTTCATTAGAAACAATACAAGAAAAATCTATTTTAACACTGGCTGAGAAAAAATACCAACAATAAAAATGTAGTGAGATGTTTTCTTTCTTATATATAATTATACAGTTGCCTGGTGGGCTGGTAACTTGACCTAGTTTATACTCTAAATATAGGTCATCAGTGTTTGACCTAGTTTTCAGTCTGAATGTACAGAAAGGAATGTCTGCCATTACAAAACTTACTACAGTCAGTAGAAATAACCCAGAGTTAGATTGTTTAGATTGATTCACAGGCAGCGTGCTATTTTACGTTATTTCTAGTAGAACCTGGAACTTTATTTTTAGTGCCTTCGACCTTCTACTGACAAAATTAAATATGACAGATATCTGAAATGGCGGTGCAAATATGCTTATAATGCACAAATTGAGATAAACATATACATGTACACATGGTAAATATGCATATATGTACCAAATTAAGACAGGCATTATCCCATATACCAAATTAAGACAGGCATTATCCCATGTACCACATTGCGCGATATGCATACCATGTACTAAATTCAAACCAACACTTCTTCAATGTGAGGTGTTTGGGTGTGGCCTATTTATTGTTATGAGATATTACTTTTCCAAACTATTCAGTCTACATATTTGAAGGGTTACTGAAGCAGAAAATCTGTGAACAATGCCAAGACAAAACAGGGTTAAATATGTCGCTGCATTGAGTATGGTATATATGAAGTAATATCAAGCAAGGGACAAGTAACAGAGCCCTTAAATCTATCTAAATCAAGATCCATTTTAAGTCAAATTCAAAGCACTGACAAAATCAATACGTTAGACTTAAGGTACAAAACAAGTCAAATAATCTCCTCTACCCATGAAGACAACTCTGACTACCAAGATATGGTTGAAGCACACAATATAATCAAATTCATCAGTGAAGTCTCTATAATTATACTGAATATGCCTTACATCTAGGATAACCTTATTCATACATTAGAAAAAACTGTAGACAAAATTTTTTAACCATGAAATAACGTATTGAATATTGGAATATTGTACAAAAAAAGATACACAAATTTCAATGCATTTGAATAAAATTTGATGTTTTAAAGCACCTAGTACTAGCACAAGAGGACAAAGTACAATTATAGCTTGACAAAGAATATCAAGCTGTACTATGGTGAATAGATAGATATTGATTGGTATTATACTATATTCATATTGATATTGGCCCAGTAGAGTCTCATATTGGCCCATTCTGTTGTTATACAGTACATGTTAGGCTTGTAGGGTAGTTATAAATACATTATATACACTCATGTAAGTTGTATATTGCAAGTCAGCAGTATTACAAACCACAAATTCATAATGGACCTTGAATACTGAACAGAAGTTTGCCAGCAAATACTATAGAATGAGGAAATATGAATTCAGAACACGTTTACTCCCAATTTTGCAATGCTTTGAACAAGATTTTGATCAACGGAATTGTCTTGCTTGTGTATAGTTTTTATAGAATGTCAAAGTCTGTTTGAATCCTTCTAGTCCTGTATTTTTTTCAAGCTAATTGCTTATATAATAGATCATAAGAAGATATGACTCTAAATGAGGTAATAAATAGAAATCAAAACAAAACAACAGATAACAGATTCTAGACTAGATCCTCACTAATCACCTCACTTTTTAACTAATTCATCAGTTTGTCCAACTTGTTGAGAGGATTTTCCTCATCAGCCATCTTAGGATGAATCAATCTGCCCTAAAACTCAACCTCATTATGAAGGACGAACAGCAATGGCCAATATAAATTTTTATCACTAGCAGAAAGTCTAAAAAATGTGATTATCCTGAATTTACTTTTGAATTCTGATAGAGATCAATTTCTACCTCAGCTAGCACAATTCAAACTTGAACTTGGACTTTCAGTTTTCCTGTAATTCAACCTAAACATACCATGAAAACTAAGACTGTCGTTCAATGACATTAAAGTATATTATAAGAATATTTGTACACGGGGCAGCTTTCCTTGCAAGATATGCCTATCAAGGAAAGAGTAATGAGTTTAAGCTTATGTGATGCTTTGTGAATACTGTTGAGTAAGCTTTGAGCTTCTACCGTTTATAATGCTAACATTAGAAAGTTCATTCATAAGATATTGTTCTTCAACTGGCTAGAATAATTTCCCAGGGAAAATGGAGTAAGCCTTCAATATGGAACTTTAGGTGTAGGCTATGCCTATCTTAAGAGCAAACTCAAGTGACAGGACCAAGCAAGTTAGTTACACCTTAAAACCTTAATCATTTGAACTGAATAAAGGAAGATTATTAAACTTGGAAATTCATCATCAGGGCTGAATCATTTATTGTTCATCATTTTATGTATCATCATCACAGCCTACTACAACACTTCAACAGTCTACAGTGCAGGAAATTGCCATATGCATGCCATCAATGAATGATTACTATGCACTTGAGGTCTATATCCTCTAAATTCACCGCTTCTCGATACAATTGTTCGAAGCACTTTTGAGTTTTAGATATATTTTGTGTGTAAAAGGTGTAAGCTTAAGTTAAGGGCATGCTTGTGTCAAGAGTAATGTTACTATAAATAAACTATTATAAAAGTAATACAAAGTTCGTCCTTTAATGACCTTCACCCTTGCATGTAGTGACGAGTCAAAATATTTTGGTTATCGACTTTGATTGACCCTAGAGTTTTTATTAAGCTAATTTTAGAAAATTTATTTCAATGATGGCAATAATTCATCGATATTTGAGTAATAAATCCCATGAAAGAATCAAGACCACAATGAATCATGAATGATTGGGAAAGATGATGTCAATATCCGCGACATTCATTCATTATTTTCACATCTTCACTTACCGACGCTAACGCTCCATATTCGTCCTCCCGTTCGATGAGAAGCTTCTAAAATTTTAAAATCAGTTAATCCTTTACGAGATAAGTACTCCCCGGCAGCTATTCCAGAAATCCCGGCCCCAATAATGATTATTTTAGGTTTACTCGTCCAATTGGTTTCAGCTATAATTTCGTTCGGCTCTTCCATTTTGTCTCACTCTCACTCAGCTGTTTTGAGATCGAAATCCGTTCACTCGACTCGAATTTTCTACACAAATTTTATCACCTAAAATAACAAAATACGTCAAAATGTTAAATGAAATACTCCAGTTTCGAGTTCGGTTGAAAATGAAATGGAAAATCGGTTGTAGTAAGAATACATCCAGCAACACATTTCTAAACAAAAGTTGTGAAATGAAAGAATTGTTGTTCACCACCAAACAACTCCATACACGCTAATGACGTCACTAGACTATTATCAGTCGGCTCAGGAAATTTCACATAAAAACCCACTTTTTACACAAAAACCTCTTACTTTTAACTCATTTAATTAACACAAATACTTTCTACTGTCGTTAAACAACATCTAAAAGGTTAAAATTTGTATAAAAATGGTGAAATTTGTGTAAAATGAACCGGCATCTGGCGCACAAATCAACTGACTGTACAGTGAAGAATATCGACGGTACAGGGTAAAGTTCATCAGGTCAAAGGTCAAAAGTTCGTCTGCTACATCGACATGAAAGAAACTGAAGACGAAGATGGCTGAATTCTTGAATTAACTTTCCACATTGTGAAATATTCGCCGCTTATGAAAACAAACCTAAACAGAGAAAAGGTTGTTTGCTTGCTGATCTATAGGTAATTTTATCCTCACAACAAATAATTTATGTCGATCAATGTTTCGAGCTAGCCTATTTTGACAAACTTGAAACCCCGACAATCCTTCAAAATTGTCAAAAATAACGCACTTTTGAAATTTATATTGGTCTGGAAATTAAGTATGACATGGCGGTTGTTGTCAAAGGAAGAAAGACCAATCCTCTCTGTTTCTATTTCTTAATTAAACCGATTCAATATTATCTCGATATCAATTCGGCAAAGGATGGTTACTCCTCAGGCCCAATGAGTAGGGTAAAGTAGGGTGGTTTCGGGCCTGTGCGCCCAAAGCTGCTCAAGCCAAGCCAATATCTTATGACTTGTGAGTATTTTCTCTATTATGCAATTAATCCTAGGCCTTTCTTATCCCTAGTTAGTAGAGTAGGGTAAATTAGGGTGGTTTCGGGCTGTACGCCTAAAGCTTCTTCAATTAAGCCCAGCTAGCCTACTAAGCTGGGTTAGATTTCCCCATCTCTTAAATATACAATCCTAGGCCTACTCATATATCCACCCCATCACCCACCCCACTACATTATATATGGCTTTGGGCCTATACCTAATTAAGTGGAAGGTTGTTGATTGGCGGATTTAATAATTACATCACGTCGTGACATCATGAATATGTATTACCTCGGTTTCAAATACGAGTTTTACATGCTAAAGTGAATGACGGTAGAAATGTCCTACTCCTACAATTGAAGACTACTAGTACGCATACGTGTGCCTACCCATTTCTCCTTTTAAAATTCTAGAGTTAGGATAGAGGAGGCTTGAACTAGTTTTATCTAGCCTAATTAGGGTACAGAGACCTAAATGTCAATATTTGTTGTTATCTTTATCAACAGCATAATTAGTATACACATAAGCTTTATTATATCATAACATACTTTTATAATACCACAGGTAACGGAATGTGGAAACGTAACACAGGTTACAGGACATAGAAACGTAACAAATGTTACGGAACATGGAAACGTAGTATAGGTTACAGGTCATAGAAACGTAACACAGGTTACGGAACATGGAAACGTAGTATAGGTTACAGGTCATAGAAACGTAACACAGGTTACGGAACATGGAAACGTAGTATAGGTTACAGGACATAGAAACGTAACACAGGTTACGGAACATAGAAACGTAGTATAGGTTACAGGACATAGAAACGTAGCACAGGTTACGGAACATAGAAACGTAGCACAGGTTACGGAACATAGAAACGCAGCCAAGGTTACGGAACCTAGAAACGTAGCCCAGGTTACGGAACATAAATAGAAACGTAGCACATGTTACAGAACATAGAAACGTAGCACAGGTTACGTAACATAAATAGAAACGTAGCACATGTTACAGAACATAGAAACGTAGCACAGGTTACGGAACATAAATAGAAACGTAGGCTACGTGAACGTTTTCTTATGTTCACACTATGCAGTCGTAAACCTATGACCTTTCAGAACCCTACTTTAGACTGACACAATTATTGTATAACGGGAATACACAACATTACTGTCATTTAAATTGGACAGTGGAGGCCCTCTGTCGTCACCGTTTTACCGAAACAACGATTTCAAGGACCTTTTTGGCCGTATCCATGGTTTACTCGGAATCAGGTCACACGTGCTAAAGTCATACGTAATATAAAGAACAGAGATTCGGACTATCAAATTTATATTGTTGATTTATTATTGTTGTATCGCTCCTGAGGTCATACTTACTGACGTTCTGATACTGTATCATGCATCATATTATCATACTGTTTACCTATTTTAAAATTATTGAGCTATTTTCATACTGGATGTGGTATTTTTGGTTCTAGGCTATAGAGATAGAGATTGATATACATTGACTTTGACCTCAAGCAATATATTTCTTTTGTCGTATCATCCTCGCATAAAAAGATAAAAGCCTTTTATTTATATTTATAGGCCCAATATATTCAACTTTATAAAAAGCCCATGCAGACTGCCGATGCGTGTTCGGGCAAAAGAAATATGTCGCGTACTATACTACTATTAGCTATTTTTTAGCTATTAAGTAGCTTTCTGTGGTCATTCTTCCCAGGTGGTGTTTCAGAAACAAAAAGCCATCATCCATTCATTGTAAATAGAAATGCGCAGAGTTGCTACGATGGTTTCGTGGTTCCTATCGGTCCCTACATCTTAAATCCCTTGGAAGCTCGAAGATGGTAGATGCTTCGAAATGCAAAGTAGGGATTAGCCCTATTTTTTCGGCATGCTATTAACTTGATAATTGTGCCTCGAAGTTGTTTATTAGGAATTCAATACCTGACTATATATATAATATTATTCTATAAGAGCATACATTGTACTATTTCTGTCATTTCAAAATATGTTTTTTGAGCCAATTGGCTTCTCATCTTTCTCTCGTGATCCAAATTTGTATTTCTTCACATTCTCTGTCTCATAATAAGGGCCAGGATATCGTTTCTATCTCTTTCTATTAAGTTCCATCGTGACATATTTTTAAACTTGTAGTTTCCTTCACTGATTGATGACAGCTTACAAACAAGGGGTAGACTAGATAAATGAAATGAAATAAATGGAGTTTTACGTCCTACTTTTCTGCACCATGTGGGCTAATGAAGACGGGGTAGATTAGATAAGGGGTAGCCTAGATCTGTCGCATAGCATCTTTTGTTTGTTTGTGTAAATAATATACACACAATTAACATTATATACAGCGGAAACTGTAAATTCGGCGTATGGTTTGTCTACAATTACCAATTTGGCAAACCCTTTTGCTTAGCGATACTATGATAGCATATCCAGCAACATTGGGGATTCTCAATCTGTAATGTCTAGCCAAGAGGCATCGGTCATCTTATCAAAGTCAAACATGTCATATTAATAATAAAAAATTACTTAATATTAGTATACAGTTAGTAGGGCCTACATGTCGCAGTCATCGGTCATGATATCCGAGTCAAGGCTTGTCATACCAACCATTATTGGAATTACTGTTTAATAGTATACCAGTGCATGTCGTATTGTTCTAGAAAATACAGGTTCTGAATGCGTCGATATAATATCTACGATACAATATCTAAACACAAAACAACACTATACACTGATTGTTATACCACACGTCTGAACGTTCGTTGAACTTGCTATTACAATCTATGACCTTCAACCTTGGTGGTAATATAATTTGCAGCCTGAACATGGCTACAGATCCCACATGGACGCCCTAACCTCATCACGAGGGTTGACAGATAAAGCGAACTAGAGTCACAAGACCAACAGGAAGTTAGAAAGTGCGCAAAACTTTGTATTGTGAAAGTGAAAGTTGAGCCACTTTACAGAATTGCAGTCATTGTTTCATAAATTGAACTTTACCCATTCGGTAATTCTCGGCAGTTTCCGTACGTCTTGAATATATGTAAATAGTTCTCAGAAATACTATAAATGTACGAAAATCGCAAAATTCCTTCAAAAATATCTGAAACTAGGTATTTTTCCCCCTATTTCTATAGATGTCTTCCTTATACATGGCATTGTCTCAAGAAAAGACGACTCGTCTTTTTAACTTTCAAACGCAGATAATTCTGCACACACATGGATTTGAGCTGTGAACACTACAAAATGCCTGTTTCTGAGACTAAGGTATGATTGGTCCAAAAATGGCGCATCTGTTCCTTTCATTACATCTGCACTTGAACATGGCATGACCTGACAACCATTTTCTCTTGTGAGTTTTATTAAATTGATAAAGAACCAGACATATCATTTGCAATCTACACTTGACGAACCCTACAGGGAAGTGTAAATATCATGTGGGATTTGTAATTTCGTAGAAAACGATAGCGGAAATGTTTCTTGAAACGATAACAATTATGCAAATATATATACACGGAAAACTGACTCGATGAACTGATGAAATATGTCAAATTTGTTGGCTACATATCTTCCTGGTTTTTATAACGAGTCGTGAAGGTTTCCCCTCGAATTGTTAGTTTCAATTCAATTGATACCATAGTGTGATTTAAAGTTGAATCATGGAGCGATTTCTAACTCATTAGCTCAAGAGTGTGTTATTTTTTGCTTTCAAGATTATAATTTTCAGCATTATGAATTTCATTATGTACACTTACCGAGAATCAATTGTTTCCAAATGAGTAAAACCCATTCGGCAATCCTCGGCAATTTCCGTAAATATGTTGCAGAACGTTGGAGGAACTTTTAGGGAAGACCGTTCGGAGTTTGTAGGTTTTTTCTTTGGAGAATACCATGCTTACTCTTTTCAAACCAACTTTGCCATTTCATGTTAATAAACTTTTTAAAAGTTTCGTGTGCACGTGCATTCTAAAAATTTGATAGACAGCCTGACAAAAGTAACACTTGCGTTTCCCATTAGGTCTCTTTACATTGGGATCTTGGGAGCCGAGCCGGGGCCACACAACTATCAAATGTGGTTGGTGGGGAGGCTCATAGGATGCCAGACATGATGCCCAATGCCCCCCTACCCCTCCCCCACCGCCCTGCAGACGCCACAGAAAGATAAATGCCTTTATTGCATGTTTGATAGAAATGCTTAATTCGAAATTTCTTTTATCTATATCATCCAGTAAAAGTTTGTAACCTTTAATAACTTATCAATTGTTATTATTCCAGTCGACCGAACTGGTAACTGGTATTCGGTACGGATAATCCAAAAGTTCATTGCCACAAGGTTTGGCCTATTATCAATAGATAACAGCTATGACGAAAGTATACGTCGTTGTGGGGTCACGTTTTTTTCCGGCTGAAAGTGAAATTGTTCATAGGGGCTCAACCATTTAACTCAACTGGTAAAGTTTAATGTACTTTGATGATCGGAGATGTAGTAAAACACAACCATAGGAGAAATATCCAACAGATCCAGACAGTTTATTTCATTTTCTTAATGAAGTAGTAGTTCCATTCTAGACCTGTACATTTGGGAGAACCAGACCCTTCCTTCCCTTAATATTCATATATTATATTCCTAAAATTCATACAGAAGATGGAGTGGCAACTCAATGTGAATAAGACGTACCAGTCAATCTTTCCTCGTTCATAAGTTATTAATGAGTAAAAGAATTATACCGTTGTCAATCCATCCATTGGACATCAAGCTGAGTAAAATGTGTGATTTGTTACTGGCTATACCATGTTAATATCGCTATTTTGACAGGTTAATGTTCGACCACATAATAGATATGTCATATTCAATACTCGAAACAGTCCGAAACCATAATTGTCTACGCGGGGTACTTAGAGTCGTCTCATTCAGCTTCAAAATTTGTTTCGCGTTTTCATCGTTCTGTAACCAATCTCTTGTTTTTAAAGGCATGGGTAGGGGAGATGGGTGCTGTTTTGGACAGCGACTGTAACTTTTCAAAGCACACCTATAGTCACAAAAGGATTTATTTTCGGGCCTCTTGAAAGTTGAAATTTAACCCTTAGTTGGAAAGATGGTAGATTTTAATGGTTATAGATTTATACATATATGAGACAAAATAATCTGAAATTTCATGAACTATTTTAAAATAGGTCTGTAGGACAAAGGGAAATCGAATACATATATCTATTTTACTTGTATGTCTGATCACGAGTGCTAGAAACTTCTACCGAGACATTCTTCCTAGCTTTGAATACAGACGCAACAAGCAGTCTTGAACGTCCATTTCATTTCAATAAAATAGGTGGCGGTCCGGACAGTGCATGCAGTTCCCCAACTACCACTCCTTTGGCTGAATCCAATTTTGATCTTTCTTACATCTACTGCCATTGCCGGTCTTCACTAGTCACTGAAAGTTCATTTAAAACTGAACCTTGCGCAGGTGGAACTCACAAGAGTGCAATCCACCCCTACCCTCTCGATTGGACCTTGAATTTAACTTTGATCTATCTTTTATACACTCTACTTCTGTTATCAATTCCCAGTTTGTCGTCTTTCTCAGGACTTATTATTTCATAAGCATACCTTAAAGGTATACTAACCCTTAGGAAAAAATTAGAATTTTTCAATTGGCCAAAATGAGTTTTTGGTCATCAGTGGACTTACCTCTTGTCATAGCTATACGACAGAATCCCTCTGTAATTTTGAAACACGCTAAGAAGCAATTTTAAATAAGTACTTTATAGTTTAATGGATATATCGTGTAAGATAGAGATTCTATTCTTTAGTCATGGCATCTGGTAATTCCAACTGATGAATATATATATTTATTCATAGTATATGAATACTCTTACAGACCAAGTTTGAGACTTTAAATTTTATGTCCATTCTAA